GAGTAAACCTTCAGGTAATCTTAGGTAAGGCGTTCAGTGACCTGCACTGTGTGTGCGGCTACAGTAAAACTCCACAGTGTTTCAAAATGGTGAAAGGAGAGTTTTAAATGATAGCACTTCCTGTCATGACAGCTAATGAGCTTGCTTGCTGGCCTGCATTGATCCTTCTGAAATGATCAAATATTGGCATGCATAGGAACATCACACAGTGTCAATGCAGGGTCTATATAGTTGTCATTTGTCACTGAAAACAAAGTTAAGGGGTTAGGCCTGGAGAAGCAACTCAATGGGTAAGGTGTAAGTACAAACCTGAGGACCTGAGTTCAAATCCCCAGGAACTGGGTAAAAAGCAGGACTTGCCCTCATATATGCCTGTGCAGTGAGGAGGCAGGGACAAAATGTCACTGGGGCTTGCAGGATGGCTGTCAGCCTGACTCCAGCTTCAGTGAGACCTGTCTCAGAAAGTAGTAAGACTGGGATATCAGACACACCCACGCACATCCCCCACACAAAGCCAAACAAATGCACGAAGGCTTTGATTCTCCACTGTGGCTGGACTTCAGGACTGACTGCTAATTTAATCAGTTTCTCCAAAGAAGTGGAAGCAACAGTATATTTATTCACACTGTCCGCAGAAATACATACATGTGTGCATACAGATTCATGAGTCTATCATCAAACACTCTGCTCATCCAGCTGTGTGTGTGTTGGAGGGTGGGACAAGTTCAAAACTCAAAACCACCCCATGGAGCCAGGAGCTCAGCAGGGCTAAGGACTGACAGAACTTCTTCCCTGGGGAAACCATAAATTAGCTCTGAAGATCTTCAAGCCCTTTATAGTCTTCACCCAACATCCACATCCCTGAGGGCACCTCCTCCTGTCAATCACCCAAGGGCATATGGTACCCACACCTATAGCACATTTTCACAGTACCCCATGAGCATCTGATGAAAAACCTTGAAGGACTTTCTAACCAGGGTGACACACAGGTACTCAGAAGGCTGTAAGCTACAACGGCTAGGTCCTGGGGCAGTCAACTTACTTCCTCTAGAGAGGGAACACCTAGGTGAATTTAAACACAGCGTAAGGACAGAGGTTGCAGTATAGACTTTGATGTTCACATCTCTACTCCAGTCACCTCTCTGGAAGTCCTACTCCATGTTCAGGGCCACTCACAAGCAGGTTTTATAGCCACTAGCACTGAACAGGGCACCTATGAGAGGGAAGCCCACAAGCCTACTTTGAACTGCACAGCCGAAAACCTAGATTCAATGAGCCAGCTAGTTCTTTTCCCTCTGCTTCAAAAAGAAGAGACAAAATAGAATTTGCCACATCAGGATGTTATCCATAGAGGCAGTAGATCACACAAGAACTGTGAGAGAGGTAATCGGTAAGAAGCACCAAGTACCAGCTCCGAGAAGACAAAAACATCAAGGCGGTACTGTTTGTGACTGTGGCTGGACACTGAGTCCCCCTCAGACATCTCTGCTGCTTGGTGTCCAGTGAGGACAAACATAGCCTTGCCTTACCTCATCTTCACCCAAAATGCCCACCAGGTTGTCTGAGAGAGAGAGAGAGAGAGAGAGAGAGAGAGAGAGAGAGAGATAGAGAGAGAGAGAGAGAGCGCGCGCGAGCGCCACCCGCCACCGCCACCTGCTGGCCACAAAGCATGTATTTCCCAGCCCAGAGCCTGAGCTTACCAGGAGAGGTGAATTTGATGAGTCCTTTATGCTGTCCTCCCTACACAGAAAACGGGATTCAAATGACACATGCTTTTCACATGTCCACAGAGGAGAATGCATCTGGGGGGGGTCACTTCCCTTTTACATCTGGGCCACACTTGGAACCCTTGAGCAGCGTGCTCTGTGTCACGTTGGCCGTGGTGCCCACTGTCTGTGTCTATTTTTCTTAGGAGTCCATCTCTTCGGCCTGATGACCTCTGCAACTGGCTTTTTTAGGTAGCAGAAATACAGCTGGCTGGTCCTAAGTCATATCAAGTTAAAGACATTCTATGTCTTCTCTATACTGTCTACTTTTCTTGTTACTGTGACAAATGCCTGGCAATAAACAATGTAAGATTTTATCTCGGCTCAAGGCCTGAGAGGACAATATGCCACAGTGAAAGGAGATGGGGGCTATGGGTCACATGCATCCACTGTCAGGAAACAGAGGGAGGTGAAGGCTCGCCCACAGCCTGCTTCTCTCTCTACTCTCTTCATCCGCCGGGCCCTCAGCCTGCAGGACAGTCATGACCACCCTGGGTAGGTCTTCTCCTACCTCTGAAGGATTAAACCTCACTGAAAATGTCCTCCCAGACTAACCAGGGGTGTCTCCTCAGTGTACTCAAATCCAGTGACGCTGACCACGATGATCGACACTCAGCGTCCTTCTGTGCCCCGCCTTTATAATATGCTGTGTGTCTGAGTGTGGAGGTGAGTTTAGTTGTTTAAAAGGCAATGAAAGTGGATTCACAAGGCTCTTGTCTCCTCAGGGTTTCTAGGAGATGCTCATACCTCAGAGCTCAGACATCCTGCCACCCCGTCAGAGGTCTCCTATCCAGGTGGGATGTCACTGATGTAATGATGTCTATTGACCATCACCCAGAGCAATCCGATACCCCATTACAGGCAACACCCCTGTGAAACTCTGCAGAGCCCAGCTTAATGGACAGCAGGTGCTGGGAACAATGGACCATGTTTGAAGGCACGTGAGGCTGTCACACTAGGTTAAAGGATATGACTGGTATCTGGTGGGTGGGGCTAATGAATGATCCTCAGCACCCTATAGGACATGGATGACCCACCACAAATACATTTATGGCCTCAAATGTCCATCATGGGCAGACACAGAAGCCTTTGTGTTCAACAGCTGTTCTTTGGGTGTGTGAGAGAGCCATAGGGTAGACTCCATAAGCAAAGCCTCTGGAGCAGACAATATGAACTTTTAAACTGGCTCTTTAGGCAAGCCATGCTCAGTTCAACCACAGAGGTGAGCAAGCCTGACCAAGGTCACAATGCTAGGAAAGGATGTATCAGTACTCGGAGGCTGAACCCTAAGGAAAGCCTCTCAGTGCTATGAGCAGAGGGAGGAAATCTGTGTGGTAACGCGGATGGTCCTCTGCCGAGAACCCCAAGCCACAACACCTCCGTCCCTAAATTCCTATTGTGAAGCCTGAGCCTTCACAGCCTTCCTGGGACAGTAGCTAAGTTGCGTTTAGGAGATGGTAACTCATGAACTTCATGATGAGATTAATGACTTTATAGGACAAGCCTCTCTTTCTACCATCGGAGGCTGCCACAAGACACACAACCCGGGAAACAGGAAGCAGCCACCTCCAGACATCAGATCTTGGATTTCCAGGTAAGCCCATAACATTCTGTTAGAGTAGCCAAGCTGTGGCAGCCTGGGTGAAGTTAGAGACCTGCCTCAGCATAGCTGGGGCATGGCTGGGCCACGCCCTCTGTGGGCTGGCCCTGCAGCTTGTGAGCATAAACAACTGACGTGGATAGGCTCTGCATGCAGGGACAAACAACAGAGGGAGCTGAGAAAGTTCCAGAAAAGTTTGCTTCATCACTCATCTTCCTGTAGAAGCCCTCAGAACCATGTTCCTGCCCTCATCTATGACTCCCCTGGGCCAGACATGACAGATAAGCCCACGTGGGCTCTAGCCACGGGTAGAAGATGGGAGAAAAGACAAACACATCCAGGTCCTTCTAGAGCAGCGGTTCTCAACCCATGGGTCCTGCACATCAGATATTTACCTTATGATTCATACCAGAAGTAAAATTATAGTTATGAAGAAGCAGTGAAATAATTTTATGGTCGTGGGTCACCGTAACCTGAGGAACTATGTCAAAGGCCACAGCATTAGGAAGGTTGAGAACCACTGATCTAAACACATTGAAATGGCTTCTTGTGGAACCTGCCATTCATTACTGGAAGATTCTCAGAAGGTCCTGCTGCCTTTGACCCTTCAAATCAAGTGTTCTGAGGGCTGACCTGGGCCGGGTCTGAGGTTCCCAGGCAACAAAATACACAGGTGTCTGTCCCTGTGGGGGCTTTGCCTCCTGTGGCTCTGAGTCAGGCTCTCACCTCAGCATGATCTAACAATACCCTGTAGACGGCGATGCCCACATCCATCATGTGAGGACTTCAAGCTCAAGGGTATGCATGTACATGTTCTGAAACTCACTCAGCCAAGTGCTGCACTGAGAGACAAGTGTGCCACCATCTAACTACAGCCAAGGGGCTGCTGAAAGGAAAGAGTGGAGCTGTCAGCCATGCCTAAAGAGAAGGGTTTCAGACCAAGGGACTTTGGAACATCCTACCTTCTCTTTACATGGCAATGGTCTGCAGGAATAGGGTTTGGAATTCCTACCTCCCCAACATCAGCAGGAGGAGGGAGGGAGTGGGGGAGGGGGAGGGAGGGGGAGAGGGGGAGGGGCTGTAGTCCTTTCTCTGTCCCTGAGCACAGTGCCCAGGACACGAGTCACTCAGACCTGGAGGACACAGACCTGGACTCTGAGACCCTGAGAGAACTCTGTCTTACACAAGTCCACACATCTGTCCGTTCATGTCACTTCTGATATGGCTATTGATGGATACTGGGGATCCATCAATTACTAAACTTTCGTCTCCCCTCCCTATTTCATCTAGTTTAGAGTCAGCATGCAAAACCGTGGCCATGTACATGCTACCGCCGTGCCTTTGGTCAGGTCATGCTTAGGGGTGTCATGTCAAGATCACTCACAGGTCCACTTAGTGTGTTGCCAAAATCCATTGGAACAAACATCCAACCTTCCAGACACAAGTTCACCCAATGTCTTTATAGTCTTTGTTGGGCCTGGCACCCCCAGGGAAGGGCTCCCCCATCTCTTTAGTGCAGGCCTTCCACTTTACCCCTTCCTAGCCAGTGGCTAGCAGAAAAGCTCCCGCTTCCATGTGGCTCTGGGTGACCTAGCACAGGCTGATACCCCTCCCCCAGCCGCTGCCTTCCTCACCGGAGATGATAGAGTCGTTGAGCGCCTCCTCATCCTGATACAGTAGCAAGTCATCCTTGAGCTCGGAGCTCAGTATCAGATTCTCCTTGTTCTCCTCGGAGTCTTTGGCAACAGTCCACTTGTTCTCCGAGGCCCCGTCAAAGCTCCACGCCTCGTCCCTCTCCTTGCCCCGCTCCATGCTGGACGTCCTGGACAGACGCACATCCATCCGCTTCTTCGGAGACCCTCTGCATTCCCGCCCTTGAAAACTAAATGGGAAAGATGGTCCCTGTTACATGTGCCCACTTTTCTAGAAAGCCACAGACATCAATGTGGGACCTGGTGAACTCTCCAGGGGTGGCCTTGTGTCGAGAGCTTTAAAGAGAACCTGAGACTTTGAGCCTATAGTACTTGGCTCTGTGCTGTGCCCTGCCGAAAGCAGAGGGCATATGCTAAGTCCTGCCGATATGTATACTTCAACCATTCAGACCAACAGTTTTAGAGATCTGAGGAAGACAGTGTGTAACCCCAGTAGGCCACTGCACTGGCATGTGTTCGGGGGCTGCCTCTCCTCCTCAAGTACCCTTTTCTTCACACCAGCTGTAAGCCACCAAAATCAAGGAAGCAGTGGGTTGGGGTACCTTGTATTCTCATCATTAGACCTGCAGGGATTTCAGAATCATAAACTAATATCCCCGTTTCCCAACTATTCTCTCTCGGGAAGCCCCAACCCCCATGTGAGAGGTAATACAGGGAGTCTGCTGGTTGGAGTCCCATGTGCACAGCCCCTGTCTTAGGAAAATCAAGATGGTTCCAGTGGATTAAGAAACCCAGGCCAGGCTCTGGGTGACTGCACAGATCGGAAGGGTCCTCCCAGGATCTAGTCCTCTCGGGTAGCACAAGTGTGCAGGATCAGAGCCTCACCTGTCCTGACGGTGCTTCGTGGCCAGTGCCCTGTGCAGCTCCTCAATCACGCGGCTGGGGGGCAGTGGCCGGTGGACAGTGGTGAGATGAGGGGACCCTGTGGGGGTGGCAAGCTGTCCTCTGAGAACCGGCTCATTGTTCTTCATGCTGGGGCCTTGGAAGAGCGCAGCTTGACCTGGGGTGGAGCAGTAACGTACACGAGTATCACCCTCCTCATAGGGACCAAGGTGTTGAGGAAGATGTAAGGGTGCACTCCTCACACTCTTCCAGGCCACCTGACCTACACAGAAGTGCCAAGCCAGATCCCATTTCCAGGGAGGAGACTAGGATATGACTCTGCCCAAGTCCCTACACCAACCGTACCACTCCACTGAGGAAGAACTCTGCGATGTCAAAACCAGTGTCATCCTGTGAGGTCAGTGCAGAGAGCACCCTTCCCTCATCCTTTGATGAGTTGGCTTTCCAGACAGGTTCATTGATCCATGGATATCATAAATATTTAGCGTTTTGCACCATCCCTTCTTCTGCTTCAGCCCTTCTAAAAACATCTGTTCCCTGTACAGATCCTAAAAACATCATGCTTACCCTGTACCTCAGCCTTCGGGGCTCCTTCTGGAATGTAAGTCCTGCCACATTTTTCTCTCCTTCCTTTTGACATGATTCAGACTCATGCCCCAGACCCAAAGCCCCTTGGGCTGCTTGGCTCAGCACCCTGCCACCCCACCCTCTTCAGGCTACCCATGGACATCCTTCTAGTTCCTGAAGCATCATGCTGCCCCAACTCTGAGCCCTTGAAGGTTCTTTTCCTTTACAGTAATATCCCTTCCACAGTGAGACCTTCCCTGAGTGTCACCCCAGTCTGGAGCCCCAAGTACCAGTCCAGGAGGACCATACCATCTGCTTCCTCTTAGGAGTGATGGAGGAATGAGAATTCTTTTCAAGAGTATTTAGCTATCACCCAAAAGATGACCAGTGCCCATGTGGGAAGATTATTATAATGATCATTTTTTAAACATGACCAGCATAACTGGGAAGGTGGTTTCAGTTGGTAAAGTATTTTGTTGTATGATCAAAGGAGTCTGAATCCATGTTTGAAGAAGAAGAAGAAGAAGAAGAAGAAGAAGAAGAAGAAGAAGAAGAAGAAGAAGAAGAAGTAGAAGAAGAAGGGGAAGGGGAAGGGGAAGGGGAAGGGGAAGGGGAAGGGGAAGGAGAAGAAGAAGAAGAGAAAGAGAAGAGAAGAGAAGAGAAAGAGAAGAGAAGGAAGAAGGAGGAGGAGGGAGAAGGAGGAGGAGGAGAAGGAGGAGGAAAAAGAGGTGCATTATAGCTCATCTGCTTATTTGGTAACCAGGCCATGATGTCACCAAAGGTGTCTACACCACATGAGGATCACCTCAGCACCACAATACAGAAAGAAAGACTAACCCACAGTAGGCATGACAGACTATCACCCCTCAGCATTTCTGAGGAGCATGCTAACATGAGTGGCATGTCTGAGTGGCAGACTAACATGCCTGGCATGCTGTCTTACTGCTCCCATGTTACAGTGTGTGCTTACAGTGTCAGTACTCAGGAGATGGAGATGGGGTGTGAGGTGAGGGGTGAATCTCTGTGACTTGCAGCCAACTAGCCATCCTAGCCTAACAGGAAATGTCAAGGAAAACAAGAGACCATCTATCTCTCCTCCTCCAGCCCCATGGTTTCCACATCTATGCAATCATGTGAACACACACAGGACACAAATGTGTGGGACCAGAAATCTACCCTACAAATCCAGAAGCAGGCCCTTACTAAACTTCAAGTGGGCTGGCAGTAGTCCAACCCAGAACTTACGGCCTCTGGGACTGTGAGAGATAAACCTGTTGCTGACAGGTTTCTTTGTCATTGTAACTCAGGAAGATGCAGACCGAGGGTCCTGGTGTCAGGCTAGGATGTACCTCATCCACCTCCCCAGTACCAAGGAGTTAAGCACAAGATAGGAACTGTCTGATTCTGCCACCTAGTGGTCACATGTGGAAACAACATGTCCCAGGAAGGAAAAGAAAAGAGGGGACAACAAAGGCAGAGCCACTCAGGTTCCAGGCAGAAGTCCTGAACTGGGGGCCATCTTCCTGTTCAGACCAATCCATGGGGTGTCAGGATCCTGCTGCCTCTGAGTCCCTTCCAGAGATAAAGATAAGATGAGAGGTGTGGACTGACCAGCTGTGAATAAGGAAACCTCAGTTTCCTTGTGCCAGCGGCTGACACACAGCCTGTCAAGCACTCTATTGTGTAAACCAGGAGGCAGCAAGTATATGTGGTGGTTTTAATGAGAATGGCCCCCATAGGTTCAAATATTTGCATGCTCAACCCCTAGTTAGCAGAACTGTCTGGGAAGGATTAGGAGAGGTGGCCTTGGAGGTTTCAAAAGCCCACACCAGGTTCAGCAAGCACAAAGATGTAAGCAAGCTGTCAAGCTGCCTGCTTGCCTGCCATCATGCTTTCTGCCATGACAATCAAGTACTTACCCTCTGACTCTACAAACAGGCCCCGAGCTAAAAGCTTTATTTTATAAGCATTGCTGTGGCCATGATGTGTCTTCACAGCTATTAAGTGACGTCAGTGTAAGACAATGGGATATGGTTACTAGCCCAAAGTGGGACCGGCCATGTTTGAGGGTGACACAAATGAGTTTGAGCCTGTATCATGCAGGACCTGGGATAAGTTAACCTCTCTGTCTTAGTGTTCTAAACTGGGCACAGGACCCTTGCCCTCCATCCTCAAGGGCCAGCCTAGTGAGGGATGTGTTCATGCGTAGTGAGAATTTGGTTTCTTAAAAAAACCAGTTATGTTACATAAGTATACTTTTTTAAAATCCCAGTTGTGGGATAAGAGGCTGCCTCACTGTAGGTGACTATGATTTGCCTCATGCACTAGTAGGGGTGTGGTTTTGCCAGCTGGAGATAGTTTAATTCTGGGGACTCAGGAGACAGTATAAATGGGAGAGACCCGAGAGAGCCTGTGGTAGCTGCTGTTCTCCCTGACGCTGCCAGTTGCTGTTGCAGTTTGTTAAGTGGTTGAGAGAAAAGAAACAAGAAAAGAAGTTGGAGATATACTGATGACAAAGACTAGACTTGCCCGCCAAGAAACCTAAAGTCCCTAAGCAGCAGGGAGTAGTCTAAAGAGGTCTAGAGGTCTATACTTCTTTCCCCTCTAAGCTGTTTTCTCTCCTACTTGGTGTTGGGGGATTGGAAGGGATTAGGATGGGATAAAGGTTGGAAGGATGGCAGATATAAGAACACAATAAAGTAGCCCAAAAAAGTACACACACATGTACTATGCATGTCCACAGAATAACTGGTTTCACTGAGCTGGGCTTTGCTCTCTAGTGCTGACTGCTTCCAAGGGAGTATTCAAGAAATTGAGAAGGAGGGTAGCCCCATGTGAAGACCAGCAGTCTCAACTGACCTGGACCCCTAAGATCAATCAGACACTGAGCCACCAACCAAGCAGCATACAAAAGCTGATATGAGACCCCTAACACATACAGCAGAGGACTGCCTTGTCTGGCCTCAGTGAGAGAAGATGCACTTAACCCTCAAGAGACTTGAGGCCCCAGGGAGTGGGGAGGTCTGGTGGGGTGAGGGAGAGTGACGGTAGGGGGGTGGGGACATCCTCTTGGAGATGGGGGAGGAGGTACGGATGGGGAGTGGTTAGAGGGGCATACTGGGAGGGGGATGAAGACTGGACTGTAAAAACGGATTGAAGAATGAAAAAGCAAATAAAATAATAATTAAAAAAAAATAGCCGCCATTTGGTGAATAGCCTGCCTCCCTGTGGTACTGAGGTGCCTGTTCCTGAAGGCTCAATGAGTAAATGTTGACTCTCTGCAGCAAATCCCCCGTGAAGCCAGGGCTGTAGGTGAGGAGGTGAAGATATCACAGGGGTTGATGACAATGGGGTCTTTTCTGTCCAACTGAGTTGCCACAGAAAGGGCCAGTGCTGACTCCTGGCTCTGCCCTGATGCATATATGGAGCTGTTGTGAAGGAGAAAACGGGCAGCCCAGGCCATTGCAGGGAGTGGCAGAAACAGTACAGACACCCATGTGTTAGCAGAGGAAGTCCCACCTTGAGGGCTGGCTGTATGCTCAGGGTTCAAAGTCTAGAAGATTCCCCCTCTGACTGGTACAGGACCATCTCTCCATTGGAGAGTGTTCAAGCAGTCTGCAGTCAACAATCATGGCCTTGTGGGAACTTTTTCTGTGGCCTGCAGAGCCAGTGCACTGAGGCAATGGTAAGAGTCAGCCTGGAGCTGGAGTAGGCATGATGGATGGAAGATATGGATGGACATATGGACAGACAGACGGATGGATGGATGGATGGATGAATGGATGGATGGACAGACGGATGGATGGGTGGATGGGAGGATAAGCAGACTCACCTGTGACATTTTTTGTGGCTTTAGAGCTGGCCTTGGGTGGCGGGGTGGGCAGCAATGGAGGGCTGGGGAGCTGGCTCGCAGATCTCTCCAGGGGTCTTGGAGGACTGTCCAGGGAGTCAGACCCAGCTAAGGCTTGAGAGGGCTCATCAGTGGTGGGCAGGAGGCTGCCAGCATCTGCTTCTTCCTCACTGGATGCAGATGGCATCTTGGCTGGTTCAAAGGCAAAATGGAGTATTTAGAGGAGGCTGACATAGCATGGTTAAGAGAGAACAAGACCTGGGGACAAGTGTCTCGATGGTGGGAAGGCACTGATCCTCCGTGTGGACTTGCCTGTGCATTCAGTGAACAAGAGACCACAAGAAACAGGGAGTCAGGAAGTCATTCAGGCACTGGTGGCCATGTCCCTCCTCTCGAAGGAGCCTGGGCACCTCACACTTGTAAGCATGCTGTCTTGATAGATTCTAGAGTCAGAGAAACTGGCTGTGCAAGCTGGCTGTGCACATTGGCCTGGCTTGGTGCTAAACCTCTGTGTATATCTTACCATTAGTGACCACGTCAGTGACAATGTCCTCATACAGGATTGGTTTAAGGTTTAAAGGAAGGAACGATGAAGCCATGTGTGCTGGTGCATACCTGTTGTCCCAGGGGAATCCCAGGTTTGGAGCCAGGCTAGGATACACCATGAAACTATGTCTCAAAATCAAGATGAACAGGAATTACAGTTTCATCAAAAGGCAGGGGTGACATCTACACAAATGTCTGATACATCCAGACCCTTGTGTCAACAGCTGTGATTTTTCTGTGTGGGTTATAGGTGCCCTATCCCTGGCACACAGATCTAGAGTCAGGGGAGATGGGACTTCCAGGGAATGTCAGCCTTCCAGAGCCCTGTCCTCTCTTCAGTTGCTCACCTGGGTGCCTCCTTCGTGAGCCCCCACTGACAGTTCTATTTTCTCCTGGTCCACCACCGGCTCCCTCTTGGCATTCTTTATAAGCCAGCACAGGCCTACTACCATCCCAACAGCCCTGCATCCTCTGCTCAGCTTCCTGCTTCCCGGGCCCTGAGGAAGGCCCCTCTCTGGGTGAAACTACTACCCACGTGCTTATGTCAAGAGCTATAGAAGATAGTGGTGTGGAAGACACATCTGGAGACCTGTTCCGTACTGGCCACCACCCTACTCAGCACCCACTCTGAACCTCTCTTGAAGGTGATTGCTTCCAGCCTCTGTGCACATCTCCAGTTACTGACATGGTCCCTCATCTGAAGCTTTGCAATGATAACTGAGTCCACACGATAGTAGGAAGCGTATTAGCTTCCTCAGCATGCACACACCTGCTATGCTTCCCTTCAAAGTAGTCATCTCCTTCCATCACAAATGGACAGCCTCCTGCTCTGACAGCACAAACTCAAGGTGCTTCTGGAAGGCACTTACTGGATGCATAGCTGCCTAGGAGGAACTTCCTCCCCAGGAGGCAAGGCTGGCTCCTTGTTCTCAGGGCCCGAGCACTGTCCATTGTTCTGAGGGACTGTAGCTGCCTGGAGAGCATCCAGGGAATCCTCTGGGCTCTTAGCACCCGCCCAAGCAACTGAGAGCCATAGCTGGCCCCTGTGTGTACACCATGTTGCAATTTCTAACTTTTACACAGTCCTTTCGAGCTCGTGGGGATGCAGCCTTTATGTCGAGGGCTGGCTGTCCCAACTCCCCATGAGCAAAATTCCAGAAGGCCTTGCAGAATTGGCAGCACTGTCAAAATGGCCACCTGAGTGACCATGACCTGAACCTCAAGCTCTGTGTTCTTGCCTTGTGTGGATACATGTGAACACACTGCTTTTATTTTCACATTATTTAAAGTGTCCCCAGGAGTGTCGACTGCTAAAAGAAGTTTTCCTTTTAAAGATCTCTGGACACTGAGACAATCATTCTACCCTGTTAATTTTAATGTGTGGTACCTCCATTTAATTTTTTCCCTGATAATATTAAAATAAGCATTCTGTATTTTTTGAGGTAAAAATGTATTCAGGAACTCTGAGAATAGAGATGGTCTCTCTCTCTCTCTCTCTCTCTCTCTCTCTCTCTCTCTCTCTCTCTTAACGATTTATTTATTTTATGAATATGAGAACACCGTAGCTAGCTGTCTTCCGTCATACCAGAAGAGGGCGTCAGATCCCATTACAGATGGTTGTGAGTCACTATGTGGTGGCTGGGAATTGAACTCAGGACCTCTGGAAGAGCAGTCAGTGCTCTTAACCACTGAGCCATCTCTCCAGCCCCCATCTTCTCTTAATGGATACAAATCCTATGGCTTGTTGGGTCTTCTGTGTCTTGTAAATCAGCACAGGGTAGTAGATGACCTGTCCCAGAGCCAAGCTCATAGGAATGGCCAGTGGGCTTTGGGACACACACACACTCTGCCTGTTCTCACAGTCATGTAGGAGACGTGCTACTCCAATAAGCATCTACACAGGACTAGATGTGCCCACTCTGCTCCGGCTGGAGTGAGCACTCCTTGCATCACTCCCTGTCCTGATTACTTCTGGGTAGCATATTCTCCAGGAAGCAGCTCTCAATGGAGGAGAGGCATGATGAGGCCTAGAGGTGTCTGGGGACATAAAATGTTTGTCTGGCCTGCTCACAGGAAGCTCCACTAGGAGAGGCGAGAGCTATGTTTTGTCAGGTAGATGGGTCTCTTCTACTTAGGAAGGGGCTCTTGTCCTTGATACACCATTGTAGTGGGAGATAGGCTGAGCTCCAACAGCTCCTCCATGGCTCTGGTGTACTCCCTGGTGCAGGCCTTGGTCCTGCAGAGCGGGAATACAGACAGGCTAGCTTCACCCTCTGAGAACCGGTTTCCTCCCAGGGACTTAGTCCAGTTCATCTTGACTGGACTTCCTGTTTTCTGTCTAGGGGCACTGCCACAAGAAAGGTCAGCATGGAGACAGGACAGTCTGAGCCTGGGGCTCTGCTGATGGGTCAGACAATGGGGTCAGTGTAGATCTGTCTGTTGTGCTGGAGCTCCATGTGGGATCTGGCTGAAAACCCCAACTTGGGCCAGTCTCATGTCTCTTTAGGTTATGGACACACGCTGCCTGCCTGCCTGCCTGTCTGCCTGCCTGTCTGTCTGTCTGTCTCTCCATTTTAGTAACTTATCACACGGAAAGCAATCCAAACACTTCTGAACTCATACGCTAGCATCTTTGCCCAGCTTCAGCTGTACCTCTGTAGTCCCAGCTACTCTGAAGGCTGAGGCAGAGGGATCACAAGTTCAAAGACTGCCTCAGCTGCAAAGTAAGTTCAAGGTCAGCCCTGACAACTTATCAAGGCCCCTTCTCAAAACCAAAAAGGAAAGAGGGTTGAGGATGCCAGGCCATGGTAGAGCACCTGTCTAGCTTGTGTATAGCTACATAGGAGTCTGATCTTCAGGATCTCAAAAGTGAATGGACTAATGCAATTGAACTCACTAAACACCATCACCAGAACTGTGCCTCTGTACTCTGACACTATTCTCTCTTCTACCTGGGGTGTCTTTGTCAGCCCCTCATCACGGCCATCCTGCTAAGTCCCTCACTAACCTCCAATTCTCTTCTTGGCTTTGGCTCTCACACTTTTCAACTACTCTGCCCCTATTGCACTGTTCTTCATGCGCTCTGCCCCCTGTACCCACCCCTTAACAGTGACAACATGGACTCTGGCCTGTGTCTTCCTCCACAGACATTGTCTGGTTAGTCACTCCCAAACCTGGTCCTCTGGCTTCAGCCTCCATCTCACTAGATGAGTGCTCTGAGATCCTCCCTCTCCCCAGAAGGTCAAACAAGCTGAAGGCCACAAATATTCTCACCCAACTCTTTGGTTTTAGCTGTACAGCAATTGTATCCAGGGCCTCGATGGGCTAACCAAATGGAGGCTTATACCAGATGCCTTTTTCTTCTCTGTATATGTGTGTCCACACGCAAATGCATGCACTGTGGGGGGGGGCAGGGCAGAGCTTGACAGCATGTCTTCCTCTATAACTCTCTGTCTCCCTTTGAAACCAGAGATTGCCATTTCACTGGCCAGTGAAGAGTCTCCAGGATCCTGTGTCTGTCCCCTACAGCCCTGCGTTGCAGACACATGCCACAATATCTTCCTTCTACATAAGTTCTAGGGATCCAAACTCGGGTCTTAATGCTTGTGGGGCAAGCACCAGACCCACTGAGGCTCCTCCTTAGACTCCCACCACACCCACTGAGCCAGCTCCACAGACTTCCTTAACAAGACATCACTACATTGCTTTAACTCAAAACCCTGCTTTAGCTTCCCTAGAAGGTGGGTGACAACCCTGCCGCTCCACATAGGGCTCTGACCAAACTCTTGGCTAGTCATGTAAGCCCTCACAGTCTCTTCCACTCTTTCTCTTGTTGTCCACCACACCCCTGAGCATGGAAGAGATGGGATGGGTTGTAAAAAGAATGAGGCAGGATTGTATGGGCTGGTGGCATTTGGCTGGCGAACCATGTGGAACTCGACCTGGGGAATGCTGGGGCTCTGCCTCTTCCTGTGCTGTGTCAGTTCCAAACCCCTCCTCCTCAGAGATGCCACATGTCCCCACAGAGAGTTACCAGAAGCCTCCAGAGACCTGACTTACCTGGTCTCAGCCAGGCTTCCTTCTGACCTCCAACCCTCCTAAACCCAACCATCCCCTAAGTCAGAAACTAAAAGTTTCTCTGCCGATACCCCAGTAGATGGCCAGATGGCCACTGCTTTCAGCATAGATTATGTGGGCTTTGCCACAATTATAGCCTTTGTTGGAATAGAAAGCTCCAGAAGGTTCAGCCAACCCAAACAGCAAAATCTCTCCTGGCTTCACACCAGGATGGACATATGGCTACCTCTCACTTATGGCACTGCTCAGTAGAACAGTGCCCCCGCCCAAGACTTAGCCACAGCCACAGGCAGCCACTGGCAACCGGCAAGTAGCTAATGTGATCGAAGGCCTGAAGCTCAGTTGTTTCTGGTTGATTAGTCACATGACTTAGTGGTATGCACTGAACAGAGAGTTCTAGGGTCCCTGAGGAAGTACCAGGGTCCCGGGGCCACCACTGTAACCAGTGGGAGGTAAGAGGCAGAGGCTAGACTTGGAGGAGGACCGACACCTAATATCTAATGTCTGATAGGGCACACAGACACAGGCAAGAGGGCAGGGTCCAAACTGGAGCCTACAGCTTGGCAACTTTTTCTCTAGACCTCAGTAACAATCAACATCTAGAATATGCCAGAAGTCAAATAAAGGTTTACCTTCTTCATGGCTCTAGTTTGGTCTGTAGAATGTTCTGGATAGGACTTAGGAACTCTGTGGTCTAAAAGCAATTGTTGTATCTTGAATATGACAATGTTCCTACCCTCCAGGATCATTGTTTGAACAATTGGTCTCTAGCTGCTGGTGCTATTTGGAGAGGGAGTAGGAACTTTAAGAGGTGGAACTTAGCTAGAGGAAGTAGGTCTCTGAAGGACATCTCTGAAGATTTATAGCCTGGACCAGCTTACTCTCAGTGCCTACTTCTTATACTGCTGCTGAGTTAAGAGGAAGCAGCACACCCAGCACACCACAGAGCTGCCCGCCACCATGCTTACCCACCACGGTGACATGCCCCCGCATTCACCATGATCACAAGACCCCTGTGCCCACCATGATGACACACCCCCATAGCCACTGTGATGGCACACCCCTACCACCCATCATGATGGCATGCCCCTCAAACACACCATGATGACACGCCTCCCCACACTCACCATGATGACACCCACCCACCATGATGATGTACCCCCACACCCACCATGATGACACGCCCCCCTCACACTGTCAGCCAAGGTAGCCCCTCCCCCTGGGACTGCTGCTTGTTGAGTCACATGATGAGTAAGTGAAGTGACTTGATCTCTCTGGGCTGCATTCCTCATTTAAAACACAGGATGTTGTAAGGCCACACTGAACCTGCAGGGTATGCTCACCAATGTCTTTTTTTTTAAACTAGTGCACTCACAGGAATGCCCAAACCCAGACCTGACCAGGACCCTGAACCATCCCATGGAAGTCAAATGCTGCTTCCTCCTGGGCTCTTTACAGGATGGAACCAGGAAACATAACCTCCTCCAAGCATGAGAGCTGGGTCAACATGGACCTCCAAATAAAGAAAGGCTGCAGCCTGCCCTTTTGACAGTGTCTACACCCTGGATGTTGCAGTATTCAGACAGATTTCACTCCTTCTACACACATACTCAGTCAGATTTCTCTCCTTCTACACACACACACAAACACACACACACACACACACACACACAACACATACAAAACACAGACATACCCACATATACACTGGTATGTATTGCATAGATGTGCGTACATACACACAGTCAAATTCACACCCACAAGCAGGCATATACACTCACATGCAACACACATTTGTGTATATACACACACAAAGATGGGGGCGCTTGTGTTTGTGTATGGTGTGTGTGTGTAGGTCTTAGGCCAGGTTAACCTGGAGTGTCATCCCCAGGTTGGTATGGCTGTCCAGCAAGTTCCAAGAATCCTCCTGTTTCCTCACCATCATCCTCGGGATTATAGCATGTTGCGCTGTGCCAGTGTGTTTACATGGATCCCAGGAATCGAACTTGGGCCCTCATGCTTGCATGGCTACTTTACCATTGAGCCAGCTCCAGGCCTAGGAGTCTTCTCTTGACTGTGGGGGCAACTATGACAGCAGTGACATCTGAACTGAGTATGAGGCTGGTAGACCTGAAGTCACAAGGAGAATGGGGTGTGTGCAGCAGAATCCTGGATCTGCAGGACAGGATGAGGCCGAGGTGTCACCGAGGCATTAATAAATGAGCAAGAAAGGAGCCCTGCAAAGCCAGGGCCTATGACAGCTGCATGTGCTTTCCAATGACCTCTCTCCCTGACCTCAGTCAAGCTCAGGAAAAATCTGTTTTATTTTTTCTTCAGACAAAGCACCTGACCTTGGCTCTTCTAGGTGTCTGAGCACTGGGAAGAACGGTGAGCACCATTGCAGAACTGTGGGCTTCTAGTGGTGCAGTCTAGAACCCATAAGGGCACCAGGGGGAGCTTGCCCAAGTCGGGGAAGAAGCTGAGGGAGTTAATGTCGGCATGATCTGTACACCTGAGAATCTGGATCTCTCTGTTGTCAGGTGACATTTGTTATGAAATTAGCTCAGTACAAAGGGACAGGGCCCAGATGCAGCTGCTCCCTTGGGCACTGAGCAGGACATGGACGGTAAGGAGAACTGACAGCTTCGGATCAGCATCTGGTCCTCCTGAGCTCCATGGGAAAGATGAGGACCACAGTAGCCTGAAGCTTCACTCACTAAATATAGAGATCAGATGACAGAACACAGGCTCAACCCTTCAGCCTCCACAGGAGGAAGCAAAGCCGGGACCCAGTGGGGCTGTGACTAAATGGCTTCAAAGAAACAGCAGGACTGGGTGCTGTGAGTGGATATACTCTGAGCCAAGAAACTGCCATCTTGGGAAAGTCAGTCATGCTGGGCTTTCTGACTGTTTACTAATGGAGAGGTGGGAAGGGTCACAAGAACCTCGCCTGATACCCAGCCACTCACTACTGCCCACTCTACACTGTACAGCAGGTGGTAGCTAAGGGCACCAGGCTTTGAGCCTCAGAACCCACATAAATGCTGGTGGGTATGGTTGGTGACTAGCTTGTGATCCCAGCCTTGTGAGGCAAGCCTGCTAGTGAGACTAGTCATATAGAACAGCTTTGGGTTTGACTGGGAGACCCTGCTTCAAATTATAATGTGGAGGAGTGACCAGATTAGATTATCAAACTGAGGCCTCCACATGCACCTGCATATACATACACAAACACAACACACACAGACACACAGACACACAGACACACAGACACACACACACACACACAGACACACACACACACACACACACATATATATCAGAAACACATACATAAACACACTCTACACATACATACATACACATATATGCAAACACACCCCATGCACACATGCAAGCATACCCCCACACACAAACAAGCATACTATATACACATACACATACAGGTTCAGAGGTTCAGCTCATTATCATCAAGGTGGGAGCATGGCAGCATCCAGACAGGCATGGTGCAGGAGGAGCTGAGAGTTCTACATCTTCACTGAAGGCTGCTAGCAGAATACTCATTTCCAGGCAACTAGGATGAGGGTCCTATAGCCCACACTCATAGTGACACACCTACTCTAACAGGGCCACACTTTCTAATAGTGCCACTCCCTGGGCCAAGCATATACAAACCATCACACCCAGCATAAGACATGATATTCTCAGCAGACTCACTCTGCTCCCAGGAGACCATCCCAAAGCTCTGTACCTGGAAACTCTCTGAGGTCAGAAACAGGCATTGCCCATGGAGCTATTCAGAGCCAAGTGGGGACAAAGAACTGAGAGCCACCAGTAGGAGCTGGGAACAGAGACCCAGCCATTTGGGGGTGCTTGAAGGTGAAGTCCAGGGCTGGGGAGCAGTAACCACAGAAAAGAGGCTCCACACAGTCATTGGAACTCTAACCAACCATGAGCATTCTGAGGGACTCAAGGTGAGACAGCTGGGCAACAGCTGGGGCTCTTCCTCTCTGGCTCCATAACTCCTCAGACTCCAAATTCCCACTGTGTCCTGAAGCCAAGTGAGATTGAGAGGAACAGCCATGTAAGAGGTGGCGGGCACACCCGGAGCAGCTGCTGATACTGAAGGGAGGCTGGGGACAGACATCTGGCAAAGAGCATCCAGTGGCTCTGGCTTGGAGAGAGACAGGCCAGGGAACAGACACCCATGGGACCTGGAGCAGAATCTCAGAATGTTCACACCACAGCCTGGGTTCCCAAGAACCCTGGAGATATGTGGGGCTCAAGCTCCAGTCCCCACACTGTGCAGCATGGATTTAGGCATAGAACAGAGGGGAGAACAGGCCCCCAGGGAAGTCTCTCTCAGAAGGTGGCTTAAAAAGCTGCTTGGTCAGGGAGGAGAGTGAGGCCTGCACTCTGGTGTGCTTAGCTTCTTGTCACCAAGAGTCCTGTCTACTCTGTTAAAACAAAAACATGAGCCCAGCCCCTACTCCTCCATACTGACTACCTGTGAACATGGTACCAAGTTTCTATGTGTTCCAGACAACCCTGATGTTGACTCTATAACTTCTCCCACAGAACAGAGGACAAGGCACAGAGGAGCTTCCCTCAGACCATGACACAGCATGGCTCTCCCATCACACACACACCCCAGCATCCCTCAGGAAAAGAGATCATCTGCTCCAGGATTAGGGCACTGTCCCCGGACACACCCATTTGGAGTTGGCTGAAACGTATCCCCACATTTGGTTGACTTCAGGAGGCATGTGGCAGGAGATCATGCTTGCACAACCATTTTAGATCCCTCAGTCCTCCTCCATCCATCTTGGGAGAAGCCAGGAGAATTCCAGGAAACATTCAGATCTACCAGCCATGAGACTGAAGGAGGCAGAACTAAGATACACCAATCCTGACAGTGGAGCAACAGTCCAAGCCCTTGGTTGGGAGTGCTCAGCCCACTGGGTCTCCAGCTAGTACCTGTGTCATCCAGATGGGCGTCAGAGGACAGAAGCTCGTCCTGGGAGGCCTGATCTGTTCCACTGGCCGAGGGGCTTCCGGGCTGGACACCCTCCGAGGTCAGTGTCTCTTGCTCGCCAGTGGACGGCTCACTCTGAGCTGGTTGGGAGCCTTCCTTGGGACTGCATGCCTTACTTTCAGAATCTGCAAAGAAATTCAGCCGTCAGCCAGACCATACCTCCTTCCGCATCCTTCTTTCATGAAAGAGGCCCTTCCTGCGAAGGGTGTCATGGGTGGCCTGATGTGGTATCCCACACTCTGCTTGAGTCCCTCTATCTAAACTGTATTTCCAGATGAGCCTGGTACCTACCCTATATGCCCAGGGTCCATTCTCCCCATGTATCTTTCTTTGTACTCTAATACCTGTGGGAGATGGGAGATTCCCCCACCAACTCTTACCCGTTTATCATACACCTTTATGGTAGCCCCACCCAGCTCTGCATTCTCCTTAGGGCTTATTTGATCCACAGGACCCATGGACTTGATGAAGAAGTGGCTTCAAAATTCTGTTTGTCCCTACTTGTTTTTTTCTAACAACAGACCTCAACAGCTTGGCCAGGACCATCTGACATGTGGCAACAGATGTTCACTGCAGGTACCACTAAGGTGCTAGGGTTGTTACATAGTGTGACTACAGCCATTCATCTTTGTACCATCACTGACTGTCACTCACCAAGAAGCAAATGTCTGTCAATCACCTATATGTCTAGAGTTTATTAAGACAGATGCTGCCCTTTGCCCCAGATGGCAAACGTTCTAAAAACTTTGAAGATGGCTATGGCAGCAAATGAAACCCAATAAGGATCCAAGCCAAGAATGGAGGGAAGCTGAGTGACAATTTACATAGCAGCTTTTCCAGGATGAGGGACATGGAGTCTTTCATGGGCTTCAGGAAAATCCATCCCCTTCTCCTGAGGCTCAAATGCTGAGGTATCTGAGGATCTGTCCCTGACTTGACTTGTCACCCTCAGGAGAGCCCAATCTTTTGAGGACCAGAATTGAAACAGGGACCCTAACACAACTGGACCTATAGGATTAAATATTTCTCAGGAAACCAGGCTAGGAGGGAAAGTTCAAACCCTGATAGCAGACAGGCTCAGTTTTCAGGGAGGGGAGTAACCTTGTTCTGGTGGTTTATCTCATGGCTAAGTCACCTCACGAATGGTTCCTGCCTCCATCTTATCTTTTCTATAAAATTATGGCACAGATACAGGAATGGTAGAGAACATGAAAAACTCCCTGTCCCCCCAGTTTTGACCAAACTATAAGCCTGAAACTTACCTGATAGCTTGGGCTGACCAGCCAGAGAGTGCCAGAGGCCCAGCAGGCTTTGCCTCCCCTGTGCTGGACTCACAGGATTGTCACCACAACTAGTTCTTTTACTTGGGTTCTGGGATTGAAATCTGACTCCTCTGTAGGCATGGCAAATGCTTTACCGACTGAACCATTTCCCCACCTAAATAAGCCAGTCTCCTTTTGCCAATATCTGTCATCTGATTTCTTCTGGAATACAGCGAAGCTGAGGCAGTAGGTTTCTGAGACCCTCGTGCCTAGTAACAAAATCACTACTCCAGTCACACAGCTAGCTCCAGGGAGGCTAATCAAAATGTCTCTTCCAAGACACCCAATCCACTCTGATGGGGGGCACTCACCACGTGTTCTCCCGTGTGAAGCTCTTGGTCCCCAGTTTATGGAGACAGGATGGAGTGTGCAGTGTGGACTGCAGAGATTTCTCAGTCCTGGATACACCAGGGTGCTCTCCTGCCTGTCACCTCCCAGGCTACTTATCACAGGAGTAGAGGATCAATTTATTTCAAGATCAAAACCCCCTTTTGCTGGCCAATCTAGGCAGCCACCTACTATACTGGGGTCCCCAAGACTGCTCACCTGATCCCCACCAGGAAAGAAGCCCACCATCCTTCTAACATGCATCCCACCCCCTGCCACCTATCAGAACCTTAGTTTTCTTGTCTACGATGTGGGACCAGTGTTCGCAGGCTCCCTGGAACTGTGGTGAGAAATACACTGTAGTATAAGGTAAGTGAACTGCAGGTGCCGCAGGTGCCTGAGTGAGCCGCAGGCTCTGGGACTCCTTGCTGCTGGTGTGGTTTGTGAAGAGAAAGCCAACACAACTGGCCCCATTCGAGTCAACAGCAGCCTCAGGACAGCAGAGCCCTCTCCCTGAGGGTTCTTGCAGACCCAGGCCTAGGCTTCCAGCCTGATCTACTTCCTTCTGTCATCTCTCAGAAGATCTGAAATTGACTTCCTGTTTACCATCGCCCATCAGGGTGCTTCCTCCTCCACAGGGGAAGAGCTGAAAAGCCAGTCTCACCAGACGTCTTGACATCTATACCTGAGGCGAGCTCCTCTTTGGGCCACATCCCCTGCCCGGAAGTTCTAGTAAGTCTAGCTGCCTCTTCCAAAGACAGACCCAGTAGCGGAAATCCCAGGGTGACCACACACTGCTGGCTACACAATAATCACCCACTGCTGGTCCTACACAGTGACCATGCACTGCCACCACACAATGACCAAACACTGCTCACCACTTGGCCTGCTCTCCCCTGTGGCTTCATGTCACAGAACCCCAGGACCAGAGGGAAGCAAGCTCTGAACCGCATTCAGTTTCTGGCTCTCACTGCCAAGCCAGCTGGGCCAGAGACAGACCCAGAACAGCCAAGGATATAGGATCAGATGCTACCAAGCTCAAGACTGTGTTTTAAGTACCCTGTGACTGACTTGCTTGTTCTTGACACACCTCTGTGACAGTCACTGTTGCCAGGTTCCCTCAGGCAGTGTGCAAATGTCATTACCCCGGAGGATCACAAGACATAACACTAATCGCCATGAAGGAGGGAGGCATCATGAGGCTCTCTGGAATATCAACATTAAGTCCGAGTAGTTTCTATGCGGTAACAAAAAGGCAGGATGCAGTGTGTGTGCTCCTGTGCGTGTATGTGTGCATATATGTGTATACGTATACAGACACACCCCACGGAGTGTACATGTGCTTTCACTGTGCATGCATGCTCTATGTTCACATGTGTTGTCTGTGGCAGGTGTGCTCACTGCAGCTACTCAGTGAGACAGTTGGACAGACAGATAGGAGGGCCAGATCTGCAGTCACTATCCAGTCAGGAATGGAGATTTGAAGGAGACGCTCTTGTCCCTCCATTTGGCCTACAATGGTCCCTACAGAATTGGAATTCTCCCAGGAATCTCATATTGGGAGGAAGAGATAAAGCCTGTGCCAGCTACAGGGAAACAGTACAGGCTTGTTAGACCACCTTTCGGGAGAGACGAAGGGCCTGTGTGGCCACACCCTGATGGCTTTGCTGTGCATCTTCCTGCATTTTGTTTAAACCTAAATCTCACACCAGGACTCGAAGACTCATTGGGCATTTCTGTTCTCCCCTACCGAATAAATCTGGTTTTCTCTATTAACTTGTCTCTTTAATTAGCCTAACTGAGGACAGGTTGATGAACCTCACTTGTTAGAGATTCTGTTTCCACCACCAGGGTAGATGCTGTGCCAGAGACAGGTGAACGAGAGGTGGGTCTTGTCACTCTCAGCCCCTCACTGCCCTGTGGGGTGGGGACAGGGGTAGCTGTTCACTGCTGAGGTGGACTCAAGCCTGAGAAAGGGCCCATGTCTGCTGTGATTTACAACTGTACCTCATCATCATCACTATAACAAACAGATAGCAGAACCTGCTGATGAGAAGCCCAGGGGCCTCCAATCCCATCTACCACTGCAGGATTGCAATACCTGCATCAGTGCTGCTCAGCAGTCCTGCAGTCCTGTTCTAGGCTGTGCATAGAGCTCCCACCCATTACACTCAGTAAGAAGCTACAGTTCCCAAAATAGTCTCTGTGGCAGGGCCTGTTGCTAAGAAACGCTAGGTGGGGCCAGGGCAGTGTGGGGCTTGTGCCCCACCCTCTGTCGCTGGGTCAGCTGCCTCCTCTGGCCAACCTTTGTCTCCATCGTTGCTTGTCTCTTCCCAGAGCTGCAGGGGACACAGAGCTGCGCATGATTTATACGTGAACCTCTATGAAAGGGACCTGACCCAGACATCCACAGAAACACACACACGCGTGTTCACAGTGAGGACACATGTGTGCATGCAAACACACAGAAACAGGCAGACTTGCCCTGTCCCGCTCCCCTGAGAACCTCCCGACACCATGTCAATGAGCACAGCACTAATGTAATACGTCGCTTATAAAAACACCCAGTGCTGAGATACGAGAGTTCTTAGGCCATTGAAGAAAACATCAAGTTGATGAGTGAGGGGTAAGGGAAGGAAGTCATTCGTGGAGAGTATTGTCCGTAACAGAAACAGGCAGGACCCTGTTCCTAATCAAGGAGGTAGGTTGGAGACAGTCCCAGACATGGGAGAGGCAGAGTGGGAAAAGGTCACCTCTCCCCATAGCAGCTGTCTGACAGTGCCACAAACAAGGTCCTACCAGCCCATGGGAGGGATACTATACAGCCCAGCACACTAGCAGCATGGCGGAGACGCAAGGAGCAAGGGCCAAGGGACTCATGCTGTGTATCTGTTAACCTTGGGGCAGAGTTCACACTCCTGGCTACCTGCAGAGTCTCTCCTACCAGCCCTGTTCTGAGGTCAAGTGATCTATCTGTCTGCCTGACTTTCATAGGCAAGCTCCAGGGAGTGTGAGGTGCACAACTTTCCAAGAAGATGGCAGATTTCATTGCTAGGCAGCCAGTTCTTGTGTCTACTAAGGCTTCTGGGCATATCTGGAGACATCTGTGGTCAGGTCTTCCCTCCCTCTCAGTATCTCTTTTTGTGGCTTCTGAGCTGCCTGGCAATGAAGTCTGGCCTCAGTGTGACAGGTTCCATGAGGCCAGTCGACCACAAGGGGGCACCCACAGCTGCATATTGCTCCCACTTGCCTGGGAGAAGGCAGGGCTGAGCCAGAATCCACAATGGAGCTAGAAAACCTGTCCCCACACCCACAACTGTCACAATGGTTGTGGGGGAGAGGAGGTGCTGTGATCCCCCAGCAGAGGGTCTCACACTGACCCCTGCTGGGTTCCTAAGCTCCTAACCTGGGAAGGTGCAGCAGTTACCAGCTGCCATGGGAATCCTGGGGGACTTGCCATGCCAAGTCCAATCCAGACAGAAAGGCTCCCTGTGCTCCTGGCCCTGAGGAACGTGGCTCCCTTGGAAGGGTGGTCACTTCACCCAGTGCTCTGCACCAACCTTTACATGTGTTTCATGATGCATATTTAAAACAAGGCAAAAGACTCTCCCATGGGAGTCCTGGGGAAAATTGCCCTGCCTCCTGAGCTAAATCTCTGACCCTTGTCCTTGCAGCCTGAGACACATGGTTTTGCTCATGGACAAGGACTAGTTCCCTGAAGATTCCCAGGTCCTCTCCCTGGGACAGCCTGGCCATGTCCCTGTCAGCCCAGGCCTGGGACATGCATATGTACAAGAGGGAAGACAAGGGTATTTGCATCCAAGCCCCTTATCTCCCTCATTGCTCTCCAGCCCCTTGCCTTCTAGTCCTTCTTCATCTCCAGCATTCAGGACCAGGCCCTTCTCCATCTTCTTTGTAAAAAGCTAGAGTCTGCTGGGGAGGCTTATCAATGTGTGGCCCCTAGAGTGCTTAATTTAAACACCGCTGACAGCAAAAGACTCCTGAAAAGTGCCCAGGTGTGGCCTGCTGGGCTCAGAGCGCTAGCCCTGCACATGGGAGTCCTCTCCTGGATTCCATGTTCAGTGCAGGACAAAATTAGCTCTCATATACTCCTGTGCAACTAAATGCAAAACCAACCTGGGCTCCCAACTCACAAGCAACGTCACTCATACCTCCTGTCACTCATCCCGCATGGCATGGCGTCCAAGTGCCCCATGTGTGCCCTTCCTTACCATCCATGATTCTGTTGCTGTGATTTGTATTTGTAGGGTTCCCTGATGCCTATGTCCTACAAGCTCTGTGTTCGAGGGGACCATGTCTCAGTAGCTGATGTGTCTGTCAACTAATGCAGACCCTGGTACATAGTGGGCACTCCATAATCATTTACAGCATCCCTTCACACCTGAATGTTCAGCTATCTAGGATGGAGACTGCTTTGGGCTACTCTAGTTCCTGGCCCAGTCTCTCTGCAAGATTGAAAGGGTGGTGTGTGGGAGGCAGGCTGGGCCCAAGCCAGTCTTCCACCCGTTTCCATGTCCCTGAACTAAGAATGGATCTCATATCTTTAAATGGTTGGGAAGGAAACCAAAAGAAAGATAATGGTTCGTGATTCATGAAAAAGATTGAAAATTCAAATCTTTACACCCATAAATGAAGCTTCTTGGCACACAGTCATGCCTGCTCAGTGTGTGTTTTTATGTGGCTGTTTCTGTCTTGAGCAGACATGGGTGACCACAGCAGACTGCATGCCCCCCTGTGATCAACTGGCCTCCACAACACTGGCAGGAATTTAAGTCTGAAAGTCATAGGTTAATGGGATTTAGAAGATAGAAACTTAACCCAATAGTCAGGTGACTGGGAAGTGGTTGGGGGGTTCTGTGAGGTCATGAGAAGAGAGCCTGGGGTTGGAGAGACCCTGAGACAAGGGCAGAGGGTGCTCGTGCACAGTCTTAGGACTTAACTTCAGTTCACAAATGTTGTATGCTGCCTTGGCACTCTGCTGGCAAGAAGGCTGTCTTAGTGGCTTATAACCACAACAAAATACCCAATGAGAAATTCTTTATGGGGACAGATTATCTGAGTTACCATTCATTATGCTAGGAAAGGAGTGAGTGTGTGCCGGTTACTCTGGGGATGGGGGAGCTTGAGATGGCTTGCTTCTACCTTTGATGGTCAGCAGACAGAGAGACCTGGCTAGAAGCAGAGCTAAGCTATAAACCTCAGGGCCCACACCTCAGTGACCCACTTTCTAAAATACGACCTGCTGCGTAAGTCCCTCCCCCGTTAACGCTGTCTTCAGACACCTGACTCTACAAAGTCATCTCATTTCCATTCCACAACAAAGGCCACTATCAGAAGTGAGCATTCTGGGACCACACCCTTGAGTCTCCAAACTGTGAGCTCAACAAACTTATTTTCTGTATAAAGTTATCCTGTCTCTGGTATTTCATTATAATAATGAAAGGCAAATACAACCCCAAGTCCTAAAATATTCACTATCTTTTCCCTGAAAAGGTTAGCTGGCTTCCTCATAACTGTATCTATAAGCTGGTAGGCATGTGGTATGGCTTTGAAGACACTCCACCCCTGTCCCACTGGCCTGGCTCTAGCTGAAAACTCCCACCGGGCTCTGGTCTGACTTCACCCATCTGACATACACATGGAGTTTAACAAGACCCATGGCATTCCTCCTAGAAGTTTTCTTTTTCCATTATTCAAACTAGAACCTTATTGTTGGCCAAAATCAAACTTCCATCTTTACTTACCCCCTTATTCATTGAATATAACGTTTTTAAAGTATATAGTTGTTTTTATTTGCCTGACCCAAGATCTAAATGAATAACCTGGGGCTGTAGAGATAGAACAGTAAATAAAGAACCTGCCTTGCCAGTGTAAAGACCTGAGCACAGATCCCCACAAAAAGATGGGCAGGGTGGTGAGCCATGTCATCTCAGCACCAGGGAGGCAGAGATGAGGAGATCATTGGAGCTCACTGCCTAGCCAGCCCAGCTGAATCCATGAAACACTTTGTCTCATAAAAGGCCGAGAGTGAGCAAGGCTCTGAAAGTCAACTGCTGACATGTGAGCATGTGCATACACGTGTATGTGCATGTGCATACATGTGTATTGCATGTGCATACATTGTATGTGCATGTGCATACATGTGTATGTGTGTGTGCATGTGTATACATGTGTATGTGTCTGTGCATGTGCATACATGTGTATGTGTATGTGCATGTGCATACATTGTATGTGCATGTGCATACATGTGTATGTGTGTGTGCATGTGTATACATGTGTATGTGTCTGTGCATGTGTATACATATGTATGTGTCTGTGCATGTGCATACATGTGTATGTGTATGTGCATGTGCATACATGTGCATACATGTGTATGTGCATGTGCATACATGCGTATGTGTATTGCATGTGCATACATGTGTATGTGCATGTGCATACATGTGTATGTATATGTGCATATACATACATGTGTATGTGCATACATGTGTATGTATATGTGCATATACATACATGTGTATGTGCATCCTTATGTATACACCACACACACAGCTCTGGATACTCTGAGGACCCATTCCAAATTAAAACCACTTCATATTTCTGCTCAGCAGAGACATTCCACCAACTCCAGGAGAGTCAGAGTAGAGCTTTCAACATCTTCAGACCACAGGCCACGGGCCACAGGCCACAGGCCACAGGCCATAGGCCATAGGCCACAGGCCACAGGGCAGGGCTTTCTTTTATGTAGAACACAGCACTGAAGGCATTAAATAATCACCATGGCTGGTTGTCCCCTGAACATAGTATCTTCATAATAATGCATGTCAAAACTCAGGAAGGGAGGTAATGTGAGGAGATAGGCCACAACTGGGCTGTGGGCCTCAGCCACATCAGAAAAGATTCGTTTATTTCATGGGTTACCGTCCTAATTCCTGGTACATGGGCCAAATCACAGACACCAGAGAAAGGGGAGTTGGGAGTTTGATGCTTGTCCACAAGCACTGCAGATGTCCTCACTAAGGAGGCAGGAGCTTGCTCCAGCCCAGAGAGATTTTAGAAGAAGGATTGTGAGCTATCCCCACCAACAGAGACTTATAAAGACAGAGACCCACAAAGTATAGAGGGCAAGGGTCAGGATCTGATGGGACCCCAACACGGCAAGAGATGACCAGAGTTAAATGTGGTGGTCCCCATTACTGTGCTGTGGACATTGACCAACGTGAGCACACAGACATGGTCCTGTAAGCACAGCCTGGATGAAACCTGCTGGGCCAACAATACTGGGCGACCCATGTTTGCACTGGGCTTCTGCTTGCATGCTATAGCTATGGATGGACCCCACTTTCATGTCTGAAAACTGGGGTAGGGGGTGACATCGGCACCCAAAGGTAAGGTATGAGGAGTGCCTCGCCCTGCCCGACGACAGTCAGAAATGTTAGCCATGTGGCCATCATAGGTGCAATCTCCATTTGTTCAAGTTGTGGATTTAATGTATGAGTGTAAAGAAAACTTGCACCGAAATTAAAAGCCCTGGCTGCCTCTTAGAGACAGACAACAAGATGTTCAAGGAGCTCCTTCCACATGTGCCCTGCTTGATGGTCACTAGAAATGGCCATGGAGGAAGGGGGTATTGTGCTGCCTTGCCTCCTGATTGAAGCCATTGGCTCACCCTTGAAGACTGCCCTAGAGAACGGTCCCCTGCCTGGATACAGGACATCCTTCCTTCTTCTAACAGATTTCTTGAGTTTGGGAGCAATCAGACTTGACAGGCTCCACCATGGGCCTCATGCCACAGTCCCCATGGGCTCCAGTACAGGGGACCCACAACCCAGAGTCTTCTGGGACTCCACTCAGTGCCCTCTATGCTCTAAGAACTCTACTTAGGCCTGCCACCCTCCCAGGGACCCTCTTACCTTGCTCCATCATCTCTAGCAGTCCCTGCTTAATGAGCTCCTCCCGGCCTTGCCTGCCAGCCATTTTCTTCTCCAGTGCTGCAGGACACAGAAGCAGCTAATTAAGTCACAGCCAAAAGCAGTATGGGCCCACACCACCACTGCTGCACATGCTTGGGTGAACCGGAAGACACAGGGAGACAGCAGATGTCTGAGGCTGGGGACTGTCCACTGCCAGAGCCTGGGGTGGAACTGTTCTGAGTTTACTACCTAAGCTATCTCGTAAGCAATATCCATAACTCCAGCCACAGGAAAGTGGGTTCAGGGCCATGTTTGAGAGATCACTTCTGCAATGGAATTTCATGATACTTTCCTCGACTCTGACTTTCTAGATCGTGTTCACCTCTACCCCTCTGTAACAGATGAAGAAGTGCCCTCACTTCATCAGGGTATGCTTCCGTTGTTAGTGCCAGCTTTCACTGACTGTCCATCAGTACATCTCTCCTGAGCAAACAACTTCCAGCTGACCCGGGATGCGAGCATTCATAGCATCCACCCCCAGAGGCACTTGGGTTAACCCTCTTCTGACTGTCCCTGAGGTGTTCTCAGAAGACAAGCTAGCACACAGGACATGCCTGCCCTGACTCAGGTCTAACCAATGACCCACAGCCAGTGGGAACACAGCATGTAATTCCTTCCTTTCTTATTCTGCAACAAAATTTTTTGTGGCCTCCCACCCCAAGGCCAAAGCCATCAGCAATGGAGACTCACCCACTTTCTCTTCCCAGGCAGGATCTCATTCCTACACACACACACACACACACACACACACACACACACACACACACACGCACACACACTTTCATTTGTCCACAGATGAACCTCAAATACAAAACCAAATAGCTGCTTAGGTCTTGATAATTTCTTTGAAAACCCGGAGTAGAGCCTGCTGGTTAGTGGAGTCCAAAAGCCACCAGCTGTGTTGAACACTTTGACAGGTACTTAAGAACACAGCTGGCCCACCTGTCAGAGCTCAGAGTGCCCACAAGGGCTGACCATGCAAATGGTGTGTTCTAAAATATTTACTGAGCATGGATGTCAAGCCATGTTCTGAGTTCCATGCTGGGAGTACCTGGAGGGAAAACCAATCTGTCCTCTTCCTTGGAGAGGCTGGGATGATAAGGCCTTCCACACTTTAAACCCGATCTCGATCTCACACTGACTGAACACCTACTGTGTGAACCGTGTATTGGCAGAGCTTTGAGCAAGACAGGTCTGGTCTCTACTTGTGACCAGAAGACCTGGGTGACAGAGAAGACAAACGTGTTAGGTGGAAGTGTAGAACAGAACCAGGGAAGGGAGTCCACTAGGGTCACCTGCATGAAGGACAGATGGGGATACAGGATGCTTCAGGAACAAGATGCTTTCCGCTGAGTTCCTTCTGTAGCCTCAACTTCCAAACCAATTTCCACACTATCACTGGTGTGGAGGAGGGGACAATGAGGGAGGTTTGGAGGCCAGGCTGAGGGGGGAGGATAGGCTAGGGATGGAGAGGAGGAAGACAGGCTGTGGGGAGGAGGACAGTCTTCTGGGAAGAGAAGGAGAGAGGGTCTGCGGCACTCAGGTTAATCCTCCTTTGATTATCTCTGGGGTTTTCCTACTTGGCAGGCTGGAACATAGGACCTGGCCTGCTCAGCCTCAGGTTTGATGGATGGCCCAGAGTCAGCTAAGGGCTGAAGACCCGTTTGCTCTTTAAAGCTTAAAGGTCTCTTAGTGTCAGGACTGGACATGTTGAAATCTGCAGAATCAAGAAGGAGGGAGGCAGGCTGAGAGGGGAGGAGGAGAATAAGGCAGTGGGATACCAGTACTGTTAACCAATCTCCAAATGCCTAAGTTAGGAACCCAAGGTGTCACCTTGAAGGTCTTTGAATCCTTCTAGGGTCCCCAGAGCAGCCTGACAATCCCAGGCAGGACCAGTGCTGCAGAACCTTGAGGCCCAGAGCCACTCACCCAAACTTGTCCATTTTCCAATTCCATGAATCTAAAGGTCACAGAGGTCACCTGCCCCAGCCCCTGGCCTCCTGTGCACTGTAGCCCTGTGGCAAGACCCTGTGGCAGGATCAGCTTACTATCTACTCTCTGCCTGGCACCCTTGAAGTACTTGTAAATTCTTAAACAGTTCACCCTGTTTTCATTCTTGTCAAGAATAATTTGTCAATCAACTTCTTGAGTGATTAAGATAATTTGATAAGTTACATACGTGAGAGTGAATGCTGAACCCTCTGTTGCCCGCTTCCCTTGCCCCTGTCCCAGGCTGGGTGCAGGGAGTGCCTGGGCTTTTGTCTGCACCATCTCCAAGCCCCAGGTACATGCCTCTTAGGAGCTAAGCAGGATGCTGGGGCCCCTGGGACAACAGAGGCAATAGCTTGAGACAGGCACTTGCCAGGCATGTCCCTGGGGGATGGGGCTAACTCCACGTGTACAGTAACTCACTAATTGCTTACAGCTGCAGCTAATAGGCAAGGGGCTCAGAGGGAGGGCCCTGAGGCCCAGGCTTCTTGACTTCTGGGGTTAGTGGCTCAGGTCCCTGGTTTTACAAAGAGGCCAGGGTTTGTGACCAATACTCAAGATCCTACCAGCCCTCCTGCCCTGGGTGGTTAGCCTCCTATCTGAATCATTTTCTCTTTCAAAGAAGGGGTCCTCTGCTCAGCAGCACCTGATGCTGTGGCCTCTCATTTGGTCATTCTATCATGGACACCACGCCACGGTGCAGTTAGACAACACAGCGTAACCCCACTTCCCACCAAGCTGGGACTGGCCAGGTATAAGGGTGCAGTACAAGTGAGTGGGGAGCCTTCTGGATCCCTGGGTAGGAGGTGGTGGTTGAGCTTCCCTAGATACTGGTTAGAAGCTGGGGAGCAAGCCTGTCGGCTCAAAGAAACTGCACCATAGCATGGATCATGACCCTTAGAATGTCACAGGCAGATCCTAGGAGCAGTGAGCACCATAAGCAGGCTCCTGCTTTGTCTGAATAGGAGGGCCGGGGCCATGGCTCAGCCATTTGTGAGCTGAGAACTTGTGTAGTATGTGTTCTGTGAGCAAGAATACCAGGCTGGAGAGATGGCTTAACAGTTAAAAGCACTGCTGTTCTTTCAGAGGACCTGGGGTCAGTTTTCAGCACCCACTTTGGCAGCTGACAACTGTTTGTAACTCCAGTTACTGGGGATATGATCCCTTTTTCTGGCCTCTCCAGGCATCAGGCACATAACAAGTATCTACACACACAGAGAGAGACACACACACACAATCTCTCTCTCTCTCTCTCTCTCTCTCTCTCAGGCAAAACACTCATACACATAAAAATAAAAGTAAATCTTCAGGAAAAGCCAGCCAGAGGCGGAACCTGCTGTTATGTTAATGAGGCTGTGGCTGACCAAGTGTGTGCACCGCCCTGTGCTGATCCCACCAGGCAGTCAGTGAAGTACAGTAACCAGCAGGCGGCCAGCAGCGTTGTGTGACATGGAGACCCCTGACTCACACCATCCTCGGCTCACCGGGGCCTCCTTACCTGAGGTCGTCTGCTTCAGCTTCTCGTTTTTCTTTTTCCTCCATTTCCACGGTTTGAAGATCCTGCCCAGGGTGGCCAGCTTGCTGTTCCTCCGCACAGGGGGAGTTCGAATCCCTGAGACCAGAGGCTCGGAGCGTGCTGGGGGAGTTTGGTCCATCTCATCTGCAAAGTTGAGAACAGGAAAGGGTCTCAAGGGATGATTCCAGGCTCCTGGGGACCTAGGTGACCATCTTAGCTTAAGTGACCTCTTAAAGCATACAGCTCAGTGAACTGTCAAGGGAGTGGACCCTCCCTTGGCATCCTTCTGATAGAGTGCAGGCAGGAGACAGAGTAATTCATGAGGAGTGGGATCCACTTTCCTTCCATGGATAGCCTCTCTCCATAGCACACAGTGGAGGGTGCACATAGATATTCCAGGAAATTCCAGGTAGTACAGTGTGTCATGCTAGAGACAGGAAGCATCCTGCAGGATAGCCTTTTTCTTGTGGTCAGTGTCTGGGTTAGATGTTCCTAGACCCCTGGTCTCCTATTCAAGGACCTGACATAAAAGTCAACTGATATTTGCAGAAGTGGTGAGGGACCTTTACTTAAAACAGAGAGGTGCAAGGGAGCAGTGGGTCCCACCAGTCAAGGACCCAACAGTAGACTGTCGTGGGTTCGTTTTGTGGGCTCAAGAGAAGGAAGGACCGGTTACTGAGAAGCTCATTAATGCCATTCTCTAGTCTGACAAATTAAGTCATGTAGTCATTGCTCCACTGTGCGTGTCCTTTCCCATAATACATTGGATTTTCATCGTATGCATGTCTAATTATGCATAGGCATGAGACGATAGACAGGAGGTTTTCTTTATGTCCTCAGACGTACTTTGCCTTACTGTGAAGGTACCCTCAAATGAATTCAGGTCGGATCATTTCTTTCTGGTCTCATACCCGGTCATAAGAGTATGACTGTCTTTATGTTTGGTGGTTGTCAAGGGAGGAAAAACAGTCCTCCTTTAAAGAGGAGTGTATGTGTAGCCCAATACAAGCAGGGGTCTGAGTAGGGGTTGGGGGGCTCAGGTTGCTAGGAACACTACTCGTAAAGGGGGTGTGTGGATAGTTCAGGCAGGTGATGGAGCTGGGCTGCCAACTGTGTCACTAGAAGAGGGCCGTGTACAACCCAAATAAGTGCCCCCCTCAGGTTACTCAATTATTCCAATGCTTGCCTGCCTCAGATCCATGGGGACCTAGCTCCTCCTCTCCCAGGGTACAGATATAGTCAAGGATCAAGTGAATTCATGTGTATAGAGGAAGACAGACCCAAGGAGAACCACTCAGTCAAAACCACCATGTAAATGAGCATGAAGATTCACAGAGGCAGAGGCAGGAGGATTGAAACCAGCCTGGGCTACATTAAGAGTCTCAGGCCAGTCTGGACTATATTAGGAGTTCCAGGCCAGGGAGACCCTGTCTCAAAAACCATGTAAAAGATATGTATGCAAAATCATGCCACACATGCTACTTCTGTGTGCAGGACGGTGTGTACAGGCCCAAGCAGAGGTGTGCAGAGGATACATTGCTAGAGCATCAGATGCTGGCTGAAGGGGATGGGCAGGGAGGACATACCCCATAGGATGTTTCAGAGCCTCTGACAAATGTGGCTTTGTTAGACATTTCGTTCAGATGGAAAACAAAACTCAACATGAAAGGACTACTGAAGACGATCAGATCCAGAGCGGTACCACAGCCATCTACTCACCCTGGATCCCCACTCAGCTGTCTGTCACAGCTTAAACAAGAGTCCAAGCGCTGGGCAGTGGTGGTGCAGGCCTTTAATCCCAGCACTTGGGAGGCAGAGGCAGGCGGATTTCTGTGTTCGAGGCCAGCCTGGTCTACAGAGTGAGTTCCAGGACAGCCAGGGCTATACAGAGAAACCATGTCTCGAAAAACAAAACAAACAAACAACAACAACAAAAACAAGAGTCCAAGCACCATCCTGGAGGACCTCTCTCCACCCTGGAGGACCTGCAGGGATGTTATCACTTCCAGCAGTGAGACAGTCCTGAGTCTCATCCACTCTTTTGGATTCAAGCATCCTCTGTCTCTTGGGAAGAAGTTGCAGGCCTGACTCCAGATGCTGGACCTTAACCAAAGCCCCTTCACAGCACCCAAGCCCTGACACCATGTCCATGACCACACTGCCACCCTGATCCTCCCACAGACAGGGTTCCATTTGCCACCAGGGAAGGGCTGAGACTTGGTCTTGGTCTAAACAGACTCCAGAGCCCTCTCAAGGTCTGCAGAGCCCGGCAGAGCAGGGCTGGGTGTGAGGATGAGGCTCAGAAGCACCAGGCTCTGGGAGGTGGCCTGGTGGGGCAGGAGGTCAGCCTTCAGAATCCAATGGGTAAAGATTAAAAAAAAAAAAAAAGCTTTCAATCGAGGCATCTACAGCCTACTGTCCCACCTTCTACCACAGAGTGGTTCATTGAGACCCATCTGCAAAGCAGGGACTGTAGACCTCAGACAGGAAGGGCCAGCCTGTGGCAGCTTCTGCAGCTGCTGCAACTGTAGACAGTAAGGAGTAGCATGTGGCAGCACCTAGAGGTGCTGTGTCGAAGGACAGCTTCAACTGAGGAGGCCGAGTGTGGAGTCGGCAACTGATCTCTCAGCAGACTTTCTCTGTCTGACAGTGCCGCCTAGGATGGGAAGGGCCAGCACATCGCAGCTCCTGCCAGCTCTCAGAGCAGTGACTTCACATGCCTAACTCAAGATGAACCTAGGGCTGTACCTCCCTGCCACCGCTGACCAATAAGACCAATAAGTAAGAGGGTCCCAAAAGGCCATTCCCCACTGCAGTGTCACAGGTGGACCAAATACCTGGCAAACAGTGGAGAACAGAACATATCAGGGACGAGGGCAGCTCAAAGATGCCTGTCAGTCTTGGACCCTCCTGTTGTTGCTTCCCCATGGCCACAAAGAGCATGCAGGATGCAGACGGACGGTCTCTCCTTTCCCAAAGCAATTTATCCCATGATCCTCCTCTTTTCCTTTCCTTCCTCCACCCACTGGCGCCAGATGGGTATGGAACTGCCAGTCTGTTGGTCACAGCAACATTCTTGGCATAACAGGACACAGGATGGGAAGAGGCCAAGTTTCCTCCAGCTCATACGATGGAGATGTCAACAAATGCATTTGAAGGCACAGTACCTGCTTCCTTGGTACCTTGAGCCTTCACTAGGGGCACACACTATGGAAGGATAATGGAGTCCCAGAGGAAATCTGGAGTAAGGGAAAGCTGGGTAGGGATGTCCATCAAGGTAGCTAGGGGGTTCCCACAAGAGACACCATGCAGGTTCTGAGGGGAAGGGCATGTGTACGGCTCAAGCCTCTTAGCAGCTGGGGCAAAAAGCAGCACACATAGATTAAACTGTAAGTCAGTCAAAATACTCCATTAATGACCCAAATCACTAGGACCCTAGCCAATGGGCCAGCATCTCTCCCCAAGATGCCTACACGCGACTTCTACCCATTCTGTGAGCCTTAGACATAGGAAGCCAGACTCTTGACTTCCTGCTCAGCTCCAGTGTCAGTGTTCCCCGGCTGGGCGAAGACAAACCGCCAACGTAGTCTGTGCCCTGCCACATCCCTGCATGACCACCAGCCAGTCTTCATGGTGCTACACACTCACAGCTGGTGCAAAGGCTAAGAGCAGGAGGCCAGAGGCAATCCTGGCCTCTGTCCTGGCTCTGCTGCTTACGAGTAGAACAAAGTGCTGGTCATTCTCCTACCATCCTTGTACCCTCTCTGCTCTATGGCCTGTCATGGTGGGTGGGAAGATCTCTGTCCTTGCTATGACATATGACATGTTTCAACATGGGGTGAAGAGGAGTGGGCAGAAGGGCCAGCTCCCGTTCCTTCTCTCTTAACCTCCTCCTCTTTCTTCTCCTCTACCTCACCCACATCTGCTTCCTCCTCCAACAGTCTCATCACCACAATCAATACTGTCACTAGCTGGATGGCTCACCCAACCTACACCACTAGCCTGCCCTCCATGACCAGCATAGATTTAGGGAAGGGTATCCTGTGTCTCTGACACACACTTATCCTCAGTGCATAGAGAAAAGCAAGAGACATTCCTCTCTTCACTGAAGAACCCATTCACTAACTCATTCATTCACCCACTCAACCATTCTGCAAACATGCACCGGCACCAGCTGTGCACCACGGATCCAGCCTATCAACAGAGAACATAGAGGACCTGCCTTCCTGGGGTTGCAGTGACGGCGAATAGAGACAGTCGGGATGGAGTGTGTTCATCTATAGAAGATGGTCCAAGAAATTCCCCATCTGCCTTCATCCCATCCATCGCCTCCCATGAGTGCCACATCACGTGCTTATTCATGTGCGCTTGCATGATCATGAAGGCCTCCACTCTTCCCACCCTCATCCCCTCCAGGAGCTCCAAGAGGACAGGGTTCCGATGGGGGAGGTGAGGCCCAGTCCTCAGGGTTCCTGGAATGTAAGCATACTACTGCATGCAAGATGGGGACCAGGGAGATCCTGATCCAGAGTCTGGGTTGCATGCTGACCCTGCCAGCAGGATTGGAAAGGTTGTGCTGAGCTGGACTAGTAAACGTTAAAGTGGGTGTCCCTGCGGAATGGGCTGGACAGGTCAGTGGGTGTCCCACGGGGGGCTGGCAGAGGGTGAGAAGCAGGACTCTGTGAAGCACTTGACCCTAATCAACAACTCATCGGGGAGCTATGACAGAATACTTAGCTCAGAAACCCCATAACATGCTGCCCAATGCCTCACACAGCACAGAGCAGTAGCTCCTTGTAGCCTCACACCATCAGGGAATTAAAGAGCTTCACAGGAGAGGGGTGAGACAGGCTCGCAGAGGTCCTAAAGCTGTGTACTTGGGTCCCTTACCTCTTCCCACCCTGAATGTTTCAAACCCAGGGACAGGTGGGAGACCAGGAACTGAAAGGTCACCATGCATGTCCTTTATGCATGTTTGACACTGCCGTCTCAAGCAGAGATGGAGTGTATAGGGGGGTGGGGGTCACTGATCAGGAGAGAAAGCCTTGCTACCTGAGCAGGTACAGCCCACCAGATGTCCACCTCAACTGTGCTATCACCCGGGACATAAGCCATGTCACATCTTGGTAAATACTTAGTAAGGA